GAGTGACTGGAGCATTTATGGCAGGTAAAGAGCCTCGAAAAGTCGATACACAATCAATTTATGCCCCATATTTACTTAACTTCTGCTGCTTGACCTCAAGCAGTAAGAATCATTATGAAATTAACATTCGCCACAGAAGAGGTGCAGATTTTGCAATCAATACTGGCTTACAGATGGGTAAGAAAACGACCTAATTACGCATTTAGATTGAAGTATTTCTGGTTCCTAACTATCAGCTCATGAAAATTGGACAACTATATCAGGCCTTTCACATCCTAGGAAAGAAATTCAGCTCCCTTATATCAGTGGTTCCCAACCTGGGAGGTCGCCAAAGCTTCACGGCGTGCTAGAAAACTTAAAATATATACACAGTTGGCCTATATGTCAACATTTAGTTCAGTTCTGTGAAGAAAAAGTAAATATAAATTGCCTAATAGAACAATGGCCAAGCACCAGGGACAAGAAAACACTGGTTTGTCAAAAAAGAAGCCTCTTAAGTCTGTATGAATGTAAAAAAAAGATAATAAAAATATATAATACAGACAGAAAATCGTATAAAAAGTTCCCTAAACAGAAAATAATCTATATTTATGTTTACAGCTTGTTCTGCTGCCCCCTTGTGGCCAAAAAGTCAACGACCGCAGCTTTAAACCTCGGTGAGGAAATAACTTGTTGGTATATTAATAAATATTTTTTATATTTTTTATTTTTTGACAGTCGTTTTAATATTATAAATCATCCTCCTTATATCAAATGATGTATTGTCTCTCTCAATAAAATAAAATTAAATTAAATTAAATAAAAATGGGTGACGTCCGTCCTGAAGTAACGTTAACACACGAACTGGCTGTTGGTTACATAGCGGACGGTAGGAGGAGGATGGAGATGCCGGAGTAATAGCTGACGGAAAAACACACACACACCGACCCCCGGTGCTTCCTCACCGCACATTAACAAGCGACAGACCATGATGTGAGTATGAAATGTGAGATTTATCGACCTGGGGAGGACAAAACGTGACATTTTCTCGGTTTTCGTCAGCGTTTCCAGCCGCTGACGTCGACGTGAGTTGGCCGTTTGTCGGACCGCAGGGCTCGCGCTGCTGAGGAGGTAACGTCTCTCGGTTTAACGTTAAAAAAAAATAAATGTATTTTTATAAATATATATATCGTTTTATCCGCGCTTATACACATAGTTATACGCGGTTATTTAACGTTAATGATGATTTTCCAGCTGTACACGTTAAACGAGCGGCCGTTACAGCCGTTACAGCCGTTTGTTAAAACAGTCTGCACGATTTTCTAGAAGGGTCCCGTGATGTATAAAACCGCCGCTCCAGCACATAGCCGGGCCCCACGCCCTTTGTTTTTGCGATGTCTTCGCGTTTTAATCGGCCCCAAACTGAGTAGATGTGGTTTAATAAAGACGGTTAGTCGTTCACATCGTTACAGTTTTGACCCTCTGCGGGTTAATAACGATGACATTATCGGGGGGGGGCGGCTATGTTTTGTAAGGAAGCGAACCAGAAGATAGACGGCACCCACGCCGGGCGCCGTTATGTTGTAGTGTGTCTTTGTTTTCATACTAAAATATATATATATATATAAAGCCGAAAGATGTAATCTATTACAGTCGTTAGTTACCCGTTACAATATGTAGTCAGGGACCTAATTCAGGTATCACATTATTTAAAGTAACGCACGTTGACTTGAGATCGTTCCGTTACTTTTGGATTATAACCTCAACGCAAAAACATGCACATTAAAACAAGAGAAACAAGTTTTAAAATTGTAATCCTGTTAAGTAATCCTCTATTTTAACCTTTTTCTTTCTGCAGGCTGTGATGGATTACAGTTACCTTCTTTTTGTAATCTGATTACATAACTCAAGCCTGCCAATAGGTGTTGTAATAACGACTGAAAGTTACATTACAAGCGACCTCTTTCAGTGCTATTTACGTTATTTATGCCTCTATTTTCTATCATTTTAATACGATTATCCTGTTTATCTTACATTAATGCAGTGTTTATTTAACGATGATACAAAACGTAACAAAGCAAGGAGCTTCAGGTGTTTGTGAGGTCTTTTTATTCATTTTGAAGAGTAAAACAAAAGCTTATTATGGCAGTATTCACTTAAAGGTTGAACAGAAAATAAATCTGCTTCTATATTCAC